CTGCCCCACACCCAGAAGGAAGGAATGTTGTTCAGAGAGGCCAAGAAGAATCCGAACAGACAGGCCTTGCTGGGTTTCCCCTCTGTCAATGGAAAAGAACCCAAACTCTGGAAAATAATTTAAAGAGGTTTATTGCAAGCTGAATATGTGTGACCATGGCCCAGAGAGTCACGACCAAGAACCCTTGAGCAAGTGGTCCCACAGTGATTGGGTTACAGTTTGGTTTTATACATTTCAGGCTGACAGGAATTACAGGTAAAGTCATAAATTGATACATGGAAGGCGTACATTGGTTTGGCCCAAAGGGCAGGACATCTCGAAGCACGAGACTACAAGTTATAGGTGGGATTCAAGATGCTTTGATTTGTAATGGGTTAAAGAAATGAAGCTTTGTCTAAAGTCTTGGAATGTTTTAAGTTAAGATAAGGAAATTTGTTAATCAGAGATAAGCCACTGTACATATACTGGGACTCAAATGACCTTTAGGTAAATTGATGACCTTTGTCTTACACAGCCTCAGGTTTGTGATTGTTTTAGTATCTTATTGTTACAAAGAATAACTCCAAAAAGGACAGGGCATAACTGGGCATGACCTCCCTTTTCCTTGGGGTGGCAACTCAGCTTTAAGGTATTTTTGGGAAGGTTCCCTTGGCCAAAGAGGGGTCCATTCACTCTTGGGGGGCTTACGATTTTATTTTAGTTCACACCACTCAGTCTATTAACATTATATCATACCTTTTTTGTCCAATCATATTTGTACACAATTTGTCCATATTTTGTTGAACCTGAGCATTAAAATTGACAATTTCACCTGTATCTTTGGGTCTTCATTCTGAAGGTTCCTATGTATACACATTAAGTCAATTTGTATGCCTTTTCTCCTTTTAATCAATCTGCCTTATGTCAGTAATTTTTCTGTGAACTTTTAGGGGGCCAAGAGCTTTGGTACCTATAGTATGTTCCTTATTTTGTAGGGGTGGTTCAAATTCTACACTTTAAGTAGGTGCAGTTTATGCATATCCAGTTACATCTCAATAAAGTTCTTTTTTAAAATCTCTGAATGGCGTAAACTTATCACAGGTTTATCTTTAAATACATGTTTTAAATGTGGCTTTCAAGTGGAAGGCACAGCACAGGTGTGCACAGACAGTCGGGAGCAGTGACTGTTCCCCTCATTCACCCAGGTCTACGGAAACTTCCTTGGGCAACTTGCTGTTCTCCCAGCCCCCAGGCATGTGGTTGTGCAGAGTGGCTACTGCTTCTATCTTGCTTCTTTTTCTCTGATCCTTTTCTGCTCATCTTTTACCTGAGATATTTTTTCAGAGCTTACATTCTCGATGAGATCCTTTAAGATAAGATATACATGAAACTGGCAAATACCCTTCTTCCTCCATTTCCTCCTTAAAAACCACACAAGTTCTTAGAGAAATAGCATTGTTTTTCATGTCTTTGGTAGCTTTGTTGTTGTTGTTGTTGTTTAAGTATTAACTTCAGCTTTCTATTCAACAGTTTAGAAGTAAAGGAATTGGCTGAGTGAGTGAGCATTCTTTCTAATGGCAATTGGTGCCAGTAGACAGACTTTATTAAGCTGGCCAAACAAATAGAGAGTAGAAAGGCTGGCCCATGGATCCCATCTGCTTCTTGATTAAATTTCAGCCCGAAGTCCAGGAGCCTCAAGTGACAAGGCTGTTTGCTCCTTCTGTGAAAAGCATGCACTCACTTTGTGAGTTTCGAGGATCAGACATTCAAAGACCACAGATGGAGGCGATAGTTTGCTGTGAGAATCTGCTTTTCTCCTTTTTTTGCTAAGGGCTGTGTGTCTCCTCCTTCAGGGGGCCCCTTTCTTTATCTCCTGTGTGGCTGTGTGTGGTCTCTTTGCATGTCTATTTCTCCTCGCTCTTCTTTGACTCTCTTAACTATATCTTGAAGTTAAAATTTGTTTTTATTATTTTATTTAATGAATAGGATGTTTGAATTGCCTTCCTTTAAAGCAGATGGGTGCATATTTTATTCCTCCTCCAAACAACTCCAATTACAATGACCCAAATAAAATCTACTTGCTTTATGCTTTTTACTTATATGGCCTCAGTTTGCTTTTTTTCTGGGCTGGTGGCACTTCCCACCACTCTCTTTCGCCTGCTGTTGTAAAGTGGCAAACAATTTAGTGAATTATTGTAGTTCACACACTTGTTTGCAGGTGGCAGCCAAAAGTGCATTACAATGGAGTTGACAGTGTATATAAGTATTTGCTATTTTTCCCTTTAGGAATTTTTGTCTATTTTGATTTATAATAAAAAATTATGATTCAAATAAAACTAATTAGGTATATGTATTTTTAAAAGCTTGCTTATTTAACACAATTGTAATCTTCCAAAAATCACTTGGCAAAATACATTTAGATTATGAAATCAGTGGTCAGTGGAAAATATGAATTTTCTAATATTGGCTTTGGCTACTTTTCTCACTTTGGATGAGAGGGCTGTGGACATATCATCTGCACTGAGGGGACATCAAGGACACAGGTTTTAGAAATTCAGTTTCACATAATGTAAAAGGTTTGAACTTCGGAGAAAGTTTACTTCATAAATTATTGCCAGTCATCAGTGAAGCTGGTGTTCTATCTAATAAAACATGATGCCAGGAATAATGGGCCTTATCACCAATTACAGTGCAATGTGAAATAATAATAAAGCAAGGCAAATGAGAGAAAAATTACAAAAGAGTTTTGGAAACTGTAAGCAAAAAATATTCTAATATGATTTAGTCAACTCTGCAAGATTAGGAAAAGACTACACTGCTTGAAATCCTGTGCCTCTGATTGTCTATTACATTTTATTATTTTAGTCACAGAAAATAAACAGTACAAGACAGGGGAAGTTCTTTTGAAATACAAGTTGGAGAGAACTTCTTTTGCAATTCCTTTATATCATCATCTCTTTCCAACTCTGCTCTTACTCTGTGACTTCCTTATAAAGAGAAGTAATAAACTTTCCAAAATTACACCCACCTGCAGCAGCAAGATTTAGAGATGGGAGTATTTCCAGAAGGAGAGTTCAGCCACATTCCCACTGACCTCTGGAGATATAAAACAACCCCTTAGTGACAAAGAGAAGAGAGGCGGGGCCCCTTTAATAATAGCCAACCATTCGGGCAAGCTCTCACCTGGGTCCTCTCTCTTAACCATGGAATTTCCTGCCCACATGAAAAAACAATGATATTTGAGCAATTAATACTAACCTGTTAGCAGACCAAGTGGATGCTAGAATATTACATCAAATCCTGGATAAGAGACAACCAGTAGGATGGGCAGAAATCTCAAGAGCAGCTAAAGTTAGAACAGACTTTGGCCTTAGCTATTTCCATACTGGAGCAGAAATATTTTTCTGGGGAAGGAACAGCCAGCAGGCATACCATCCTTTACCTGAAGGATCTCTAAGCAGGACTCTAATTCACCCTTGCTATTACCCAAACTCTGGTATGAGCTCTGATCAATTGCAAGGCAGGGAAGAGCCTTGCCCACCCCATCCCCTGGGAATGGTCTGAGCTCAGAGACACGTGCCATGTCAAATGGGCACCAGTCTTGGAAGAGGGAACGTTCAGATTACCTAGGAGGGAGAGCTGGTGTGAATATTAGCAGCAAGTATTGATTTCTACCACTTAAATCAAGCTGGAGGCTGGAGATGGCTGGGGCCAGGCTGAGACAGGCATGGATGGCTTCACTAGGTGATGAGAATGATTCAGAACTTGCCCAGGGTGAAAGGATCATTCAGGATTAAAGAGGACTGAAGACTAAGGGCCTTTGATATTAGTAATAGTTACCAGTTGAGGGATTTCTATGTGCCATGTGTTTTACCTGTATTCTTTCTAATCTTTATTTGTAACCATACTAGGTACATATGCATTCATCCTCAATAAATATTTATAGAAGCCTACTCTGTGCTAGTTTAATTATGGGAATATAGCTGAGAACAAATCAGAGCTAACCCTTGCCCTTTTGGAGCCCACATTCCATCTAAACATCCCCTTCATGTCACAATTGGTGAGGCCAGGGCTCAGAAAGTTTAAGTATTAAATAACTTACCAAGGACACGTGTCCTGTTAATGGTGGAGTTGGGGTAGATTCAAACCCAGATCCTCTGACTCAAATATCTTTCTTTTAAGCTCTGTGCTGGCAATTTTAAACTTTTTCTCTACTATAATGCACATCATATTTGGCATCAACTATATACTATGATATCATAGAGTGGGCTGTGTCGTTGATAAACCACACTCTAGTTTTTCTCTCCTATTCAAGTTTACAAATATGCACCTAGAAGAAAGTCAGTGTTGTAGGAATAATCAAGAATCTTCCCTAGCTTATTTTATTTTAAATAAATCTTTCAGAAAAAACATTGTCAAGTTAATTCTCACTGTTGCAAGCCTCAGATTTGCATGTTAGACACCAGTCTTTCCACAGTTGATGAGATGTTTGCTAAACCACATGTCTGCTAGACTGTCCTGTGCTCTGCCTAGCGTGGCCAGGCCTGGAACACAGAGAAGACACAATTGCTGGCCCCAGACAAAGGCTCCGCATCCCAAATGACAGATCCATCTGGCAGTCTGGGCAACCTCCCTCCCTTTGACTCTGGAGGTTTATAGGACTAGGTTTGCTAGAACCCATTTGGCTAGTTTCTCATTGCAGAGCCTTGGAAAAACTCCACATTCTCTGATGGAGGAGAAACTTCGGTGTGGAAGGCCCAGGTGTCATCTTTCCTTGTCAGTTTCTACCCGAGTCATTAAGGCTTAGCCATTGCACACGTCTTGGGGACAAAGTCACAGGTATAGGATCTCAGGTTTCTTATCTCAGGTGATAGGACTGGGTGATTTGGGTTTGATAGCATTTTGTTATAGAAAGATATCTATAGCCTAATCTTTTTTCTAGAGTCATACTTCTCACTTATCTCAGCAAGACTTTTCTCAGAAAAAAAAAATTTGCAATCTCCCCCCAAGAAGTGATTTGATAGAGAGAAAATACCTTTTACATTACAAAAGAAGGGGAGTGGATTGTTAACATATGCACTTATTCATTTATGCTGACAAAAGGAGTCACAGTGTAAGTAAAAACCAAGTTGAATCTTTTTCTTTTAGGTAGAAAAATGTTGTATCAGGCAGATTTCAGCAAAGGAGCAAGAAAGCAGTGTGGGCAGTTCAAGTGCATGGGATTTAATGCAGGGTGTTTACAAAATGGGTGGAAACACTTGGGGAGCACAAGTCCAGCAGCAACTGGACATTTGTTTTCAAGTTCCACCACTACAGCTGCAATCCAGAGGTCAGGAGACTGCTGCCAGCACCTCAGCCCACACCTAGAAAGCTGGAGATAGAGGAGCATGGAGTCTGGCCCCTACCCACCCCAGCCCATTAGAGCTCCTGACAGTCAGGATGGGTGCAGAGAGACGGCCTGTCCCACCCTTCTACCTTCCAAATCTCATAGGATCGCTTCTCATTGGCAGAACCTAAATCACAGCCAGTGTGGAAAATCAGCTTTCCAGTTGCAAGAGAGTTTCAGAAATGTAGTGCTTAGTCTTCCAAACCTGAAATGAACGAAAGAAGGAGGTGAGTATGGATGTGGAAAGTTAGCAGATACTATCTAGTACCCATCTGTTGTTACGTTAGACTAAAAACAAACAAAACATCAGTGTGATTGTCCACCAACACAGTACTCCTGACAAAGCTAATGCATCACCAATACATGAAAGACTCCAGTGGCCAGACACTACAGTTGATATTTATGAATATAACTACATTATATAAAAATAAATTCATTACTTTTGGTAATTTACCTCTGCCCTTCATGAGAAATGATATGATTATATAATTTAAAATTCTTATCTCTATGATGCTTATGGATTAAGTATTTTGATTATCTTTGCACCTAAATAGCTTGAAAGTTTTGAGCAAAAGGAACCATTCATTAAACCAAATAATTTAAATTCCATTAATAAAAAATCATAAACTCAGTTTTATAATTGTTATAATATAGCTATCTTGTGTTGGTTAATTATGCTTGTGTTAATTAATTTTTACCTTTTATGTCAAAAATGAATAATGCCAATGAGGTTGATAAATTCAGTACATTACATTTTCCTGTGGTTCAATTTCCTTTTCCCTCTTTTTTTTTCCTTCTTCTGCAACTAAATCTGGTATCTAACATATATCAGAACATTATTTTCAAGTATGAAGCACAAAAAAGATGAAAACATTAAATATTACTTGGATAATTTTTTTTTTTTTTTTTTTTGAGACATAGTCTTGCTCTGTTGCCCTGGCTAGAGTGCAGTGCTGTAGCATCATCATAGCTCACGCAACCTCAAACTCCTGGGCTCAGGCAATACTGCCTCAACCTCCTGACTAGCTGGGACTACAGGTGCATGCCACCACACCTGGCTAATTTTTCTATTTTTGGTAGAGACAGGGTCTCACACTTGCTCAGGCTGGTCTCAAACTCCTGACCTCAAAGCGATCTTTCCGCCTTGACCTCCTAGAGTACTAGGACTTGGATAATATTAAAGAAAGTTTTGGGGCCTTTAGCTTGCCCAGGAAACAGACTGAGGTAGAAATTTGTGTCCAAGTGGTTAATAGCAAGTACTCTTGGAAAAAACACGTGTGAGGAGTGAAGGGCACAAGATTGGGCAGAAGAGGCAGTTAAACTATGTTTCAGCTTTGACATAGGCCACAGAGGATCCTCTGGAGTTTGGATGACCCTTTGGAGTTGTCCTGAATCCATGCAAGTAGGCTGGCCCTTTGTACACTCATTTTGTCTACACCAGGCGTCCTCAAACTTTTTAAATAGGGGGCCAGTTCACTGTCCCTCAGACCCTTGGAGAGCTGTTGGACAGTGCGGGGCACATTCCACACATGTGCACTGTGGGCCTGGGACGAGTTGGCTGCTAAGCAGGACAGGCAGCAGCAGCAAAAGGCCCCGCGGGCAGGATAAATGTCTTCTGCAGGCTGCATGTGGCCCGCGGCCGTAGTTTGAGGTCGCCTGGTCTACATTGTCTGTGACCAGGGAACAGGCATAACCTAGAGTGAGGCAGCTCCCATTTGCAAAGGGCAATGCCCAGAGAAGAACTCATCTGTGAGCTGTCAGCAGTCAACACCTTGGCATTTGGAAGAATGCCTTAGCCTTTGAGGGAGGGTCTACCCAGCAAACCACAACATTTGCCACACTTCCGGCTGACATTCTACGAGAGTGAAGATGTCCTAAGACAGACCTAGTCTTTAAAACCCCTCACTTAAGAAAAACATTATTTGCTTGAACACATTGGTACATTCTATGCCAGACTACAGTATATTGTCTTGTTGACTTATAAATACCAGAAAACATTCTAACTAGCTTATACCTATGAAAGAACAAGTGTTCATGGGAAATGCACAGAATGGTGTTTTTCAATGTCTGAAGACAGTTTCCATTTGTTTTTCCATCTTACAACTATCTTCTAGAAATTTAACTTTGATTCTAACTTGCATGAATTACAACTATTGTGAGTGTTCTCTTATTTCTTCAGTATAGCATATGGGTAGTACATTTTCTAGGCAAATGTAGATATCTTGTGTAGGAAAAAATTTTATTTTTAATCTGATGTCACATTGTTACAAAAGAAATTAGCCTTGAATCTTTGAAAAACATCCTAGTTTTATTTGTGTCATTAATATAACACTTCAGAACCTTCAAAACAAGATTCAACTATTATGAAATCAAAGTAAAATACTGTTTGACAAGTTAAAATTAAAGAAAAGGATATATAATTTCAGTTATATTTATTTTAAGATAACATTAGAAATCAAATGATATATAAAGCAATACAATAAAAAAGGACAACATAAAACAAAGACATAAAATTGATTTTGTGGAATATCAAACAGAAGTCATGCAGCACAATCATTAAAGGAAGTTGCCCCAGGATGATAATATATGTGGTAGATACAATAATATGCACATATGAACATAACAGTTACTGCATTTGGTACATGAGCCAGATGATTAATATAAATCAATCTGTGTTACAGAAAAGGGACATGTTACTTTGGTGGTAGTAGTCAGCAAAGCTTCTTGAAGGAATAATGTCAAGAGGGAGTTTTAATAGATACAGACAAATAGAGCCAACATTTCAGGTAAGGAAATTAGCAGCAGAGCCTGGGAAATAGTATCCGTTTAGACGAGTCAGTCACAACTGAAATAAATCAGATTATGATGAACGTATTAACTACCATAGGGATGACAACTATTTTCTGGGGAATATTAATATACTAGTAATTTCTAGTGTTTACTATACCTTGCTTCTTTTGCCAGCTTTACTTTTTCATAAAACATTTTTTCTCCAGAGAGATTGCTATTACTGATGTTTGAAAAACTCATGGGAGGCTGTTTTCCATGGGAGGCTCCTTTCTTCAAGTTGCATTTAAGTCATTCTTAGATTTTTCTAATCTCACATATGCTTGGCTGCTGAACAAAGCACAGGCCCCCCAGTCACAAAATTCCCTGAGACTGTAACAGTGATTCACTCATACTAAGATCATTAAGAAATCCTTATGTTTTAGCTGAAAGTCAAGAATCCAACAATGATTATCAATGATTTTTTTTAATGAATTTGGAAGGTATTTTACCCAAAATGTCCCCCCCCCCAACAACAAATAAAAAAACAAGAACACCGGAAGCACCTTGTAAAAGTAGCTTTGGGAATCAGGAGAAAATCCACTATAGAGATCAATTGTATGTATCATGGGCTTTACATTGGTGGCCAGTGTTGTTCTTCAGGTGACACAGTGGGGCTCACTGCAAGGAATCAAGCCATGCCATAATGGGGTTACAGTGAGACAACAGCATTGCCACCTACTTTCCCAGGCTCTTACCCATGATTTCTCCAGAAAGACCATTCATAGGTTGCTATGTTTAGTGTTTTCCAGCACACTAGGCCTCTGGTTCTTATACCACATCAGCATTCTCGTGGTCAGCCTCTGAGTTTAGCTGCATCTGCACTGTATGGTTGCAGGTGACCTCATGCTCACCTACCCTCTGCTCTATGGTCCTCTTGCATTCAGGTGCAACCCACACGTGTGGGGGAGTTTAATGCCCAGAGACAATCCTCAGCCAAGGAGGAGTAGTAACTGGTGGGTAAATACCCCATCTTCCTCCCATTCTGCAAGGGGACAATTCTGGGAGTCGTTCTGCGCATTTCCCAAGTAGTCCCAGAAGATCTGAGTCCAACTGCCCAAAGCAGCAACCTCAGTGACCCATCTTTAGGTGGGTTTTTCCTCCTTTCCTGCCTTAAGTTCCTCCCCTCTCACTTCACCGAGAGACCAACTTCCAAATAAACTTCCTTCAGCCAAGTTCTTGCCTCGACTTTCCTGCTGAGCAAACCTGGATTAACACACTTCTGATTAACATTATTATCATCATCATAATGCTAGTCCATTATCTCAAAATCTCTCTCTGCTTAAATTTGAAAAATATTGTTTGTATACTTACTATTTGGGCTTGGGTCTATTTTTGGACTCTTTTTCCCCACTGATGAATTTATATATTGAGCATTTTTCACAGTACATACAGTGGTTTTTATTGTTGTCATCAAAATTCAGATTTCACTTGTGTGTCTGTGTGTATATGTGAGCAAGTGTCAGGGATGTGAGCTGAAGAGATATCCCTTCAAACTTAATTTTTTTAAAAAGTAGCTAAGAGTAAGTCATGAGAAATATTATCACTCTGTTTTCCCAATCATTATGATTTTAAAAAGCGATGGAATTTATACTTATGGAGATTGTTTCAGATTTCTAAAAAGATTTCCAAGGTTTAATCTAAAATAGAGGTGTTGGGTCTTTCACAATAGCTTTATAAATGTTTACGTATACTTCCTCAAACAACTGCTCTCTAAAACCACCCCCTAAAAAGCAAACAAAAAAATTTTAAGGCAAAATGTCATTTTGAAATTTTGAGACATTTATGACACTTGAATGTTTAGAAATTCACAGTGGAATCCATGTACTTCTTAGTGGTGATGATGTTGATGTAAATCTATAAAATCTAAATGCCCCATGATGGCCTCATGTGAATGGGAAAGTTATACTTGTGGTTTAATCCATACATTAAAATTTTCTCGAGATTTCAAAAAAATTCTATAACTTTTTAAAGATAAAGAATCATTATTTAGATCACATTTTTTAAAGAAAATATTGAAGCAGTCAAAACTTATGTGAGTTTAGACATAACAGAAGGTTTGATTTTGCTTTGTGGCAGTGGTTTCTGGTCCTTCCAGGACACTCACCATCTCCATGCAGAGAAGAATGCCATCATGACGCATGCACTAGACTGGGCCGTCTGCCGGGGCTTGGCTTTAGCACTTCAAATGTGTGGGTGGCTGAAGTTATGCCCAGTAGTACTTAGAGCTGAATTTTGTGTACATAAGTTGCAGCACCCAGTAAAGAGCCCCGTGCCATCCATCTTCCTCTTCCTGGATGGTCCAGTGACCTTAGACATGATAGTCCTTACTGGAGATTATTCACTACAAGATCTTGGTCTCTGCATCTGCCTTCTCCT